TCAACACTGATGACTTCTTGATTAAGATAGGACTACATCAGAGGTCGGCTCTGAGACCTTATCTTTTTGCTCTGGTGATAGATGCGCATATATAAGGAAATATCCCATGGTGTATGCTCTTTGCGGATGATGTGGTGTTAGTTGGCGATAGTCGAACAGTGTTCAATAGAAAATTAGAGTTATGAAGACAAACCTTGAAATCAAAATTTTTTAGGCTTAGTAGAAATAAAACCGAGTACATGAGGTGCGGTTTCAATACTACTAGGCACGAAGAGGATGAGGAGGAAGTTAGTCTTGACGGGCAGGTGGTGCCTAAGAATGACACCTTTCGATATTTGGGGTCAATGCTGCAGAAGGATGGGAGTATTAATGAAGATATGAACCATCGAATCAAAGCTGGATGAAATGGCGCCAAGCTTCTGGCGTTCTTTGTGACAAGAGAGTGTCACAAAAGCTAAAAAGCAAGTTCTATAGGATGGCGGTTCGACCCGCAATGTTGTATGGCGTTGAGTATTGATGACTAAGACGGCATATTTAACAATTAGGTGTGATAGAGATGCGCATGTTGAGATAGATGTGTGGTCACACGAGAAAGAATCGAGTCCGGAATGATGATAGCACCAATTGAAAAGAAGTGTGTCCAGCATCGCCTGAGATAGTTTGGACATATTTCAGCGTAAGCCTTCAGAAGTTTCAGTGCATAGCGAATGGCTAAAACGTACAGATAATGTTAAGAGAGGTCAATATACTAAATTTGATTTGGAAGGAGTTACGTAAAGAAAAATCTATAGAATTAAAGTATTACCAAAGAGAGGTCAGAGCCATAAGTTTGTCGCAAGATTTTATGAGTTTCACATCTAATTATCTAATTTATTTGGGACTAAACCTTTATTGTCGCGGTTGTTGCCGGGTGACCTGGAACTGTATTTAGTCGTAGTAGTTTCGTAGTACATGCATGGCCGAATTTCTCAATTGTTTATGGATGAAGATAGACGAGATCCAACATCACGGCAGGGCAAGGAGTGAAGGAACCTTGTCCGCATATCCATGTGCACATTATCCTGACGCATCGACGTGCCACCACTTCCCATTTGTCGCTGTCTCTGACTAAAAATACTTTGTTTATAGCGGGCAAATGTGCAGACTGTGTGCGACTGTGCGGCCGACGAGTCGTTTTCATGGATAATTTACCGGCGAGCCGAGGATGAGACGAAGTTAACCATGGGTGGGTGGGTTGGAAGCGGCTCCCCTGACGTGCGGCTCCTGCCGTTGTGGCGCTGCCATGTGGACCTGTTTTCCGATGGGTCCATCAGTCAGTGGTCGAACGGCACCCTGCCGAACGGCAGAGGATCCTCGTCCGGGTGGGTTGGTGGAAGCTCAGTTTACGAAGGTGGTGCAACGCGCGAGCGAAAAAGGGTGGCGTCCCAGCGGCAGCTTTTGCTCGCGCACGCCGGCGAGGCGATCGACGCCGGTGTCCGGTGGTGAAAGAGTGGGCCGGCCACGGAAACGAATTGGACCATGCTGCTCCTGGTGGTCGTGGGCATCTCTGGCTCTGAAACTTTTCTCAAAGAAAAAAATCTCTGGCTCTGAAACCGCGGTGGCACCAGGGCCGGTCCTGGGGAGGGGCGAACGGGGCGGCCGCCCCGGGCCCCCAAAAGCCAGGGGCCCCCTCCCAGGTATACGTACGTAGGTATACATACAAGCTTCGACAGGAAAAATTCTATCAGCGCCTCGCTCAGCTTCGCGTGCTAGCCTAGGAAAGTAAATACGTTGGGCCTGGCCCATGTTTGCACGTACTCACGTGGAGTCGTGGAGAACTGCAGATCGGAGAGGAAAAGGAATCGTTGCCTCGTTGGATTGATTTCCTGTAATTTAGGAATTAGCTTCGGTCTTTCCTAAAAAAAAGAGATTAGGATCGGTCGTTCCCTGCCTTTTTCCTGTTCCGTTGTTCCTGTTCGTCTAATCTCTTCGACTCTCCTCACGAACGAACGACGTGACGACTGCAGCAGGCCAGCAGCAGGATCTCTCATCTCTTCGACCGAACAAGTATGTCTCGGCGCGCTCTCTTCCCTCGCATGATCTTGGTCCAATTTCTTTTCTTTCTAATCCTGATTCCCAATTTCTCAATCAATCGAACAGATTAACAGGGAATTGTTTTTAGGGCGCTCAAATCATTGCACCCACGTTGCCAGATTAGATTGCAGAAAGAAGGTAGTATACCATGCCCTAACAGATTCTCATTATATTAGATGATCTTTTGTACTTAATCTAATATTTTAATTAGCTTTGTGCTAATTTTGAAAGTGAATTGTTCCTTTCAATTTTAGCAGGGTCATGTCGAGTACAGTTAGAAAGTATTCATCTGGAAGTCATAAAAGAAAGAAAGAAGAAGGAGGCAGGTGAGGAGAAAGAAGCATTGAGCGGATCTCTTTTTAAATATTATAAGAGCGATACGAGCACGCCAACTAATCCAGACGAGTTGGCGATAGTTCTTGTGGGTGACCAGACTGATGGCAATCCGGAAGATGATGGTCATACTCCTACAGAAGGCAATGTTGACGTCAACATGGATGATAGCAATGTGAGTGACCATGAGTCCATATTTAATTCATCTGCGGCAGGATCTACTAGTGTTGATGAGGAACCAATTAGTGTGGATATTTATGGTCCAAGCAATTAGGGTAATCTTGATAACAAAGCGAGGGACATATTAGTGGAAAGAGGGTCTAAAAGGGAAGAAGAAAACACTAAATACCGGATTTTCTTTACTATGCCTGTTACTATGGCATCAGCTGAAAGAAGTTTTTCGAAGTTGAAGTTGTTGAAGAACTACTTGAAATCTACAATGTCACAAGAGAGGTTAAATGGCTTGGCAACTTTATGCATCCAGAAAAATTTGCTTGATGAAATTGATATTGATATTGTCGTTAGTGATTTTATATCTCAGAATGTTAGGAGAAAATTTTGAAGGTAATATGTAATAAATTATGTGATATGCACAATCATTTTGGATGCACTTAATTATTTTCTTTAATACAAATTATACGTACATATGATGATTATTAATTAGGCATTTATACTAAGGGCCCCGAAGGGCCCCGGATCATAGTTTCGCCCCGGGCCTCCAAAATCTCAGGACCGGCCCTGGGTGGCACTGGTGTAGGTGTTTTCTAGTATTTCCTTTCTTTTTTCCACATCAGGAGAAACGAGAAGCTTTCCTCACAAGCCTCAGCTCAGTTTCAAAAGAAAAAAAAATGCCTCAGCTCTAAAAGCCTGACATGTTTCACAAATCAGATGTATAAACGAAAATACCAGTTTCGAGCGTGTACAACTGGATACCTCACATCGTTTCTACACGTCAGGCGGACGGCCCGGGCATGAAATAACGAAATTAGAGGGTGTTTGGTTGCAAAGGATTAGACTTTTTTAGTTAGTATTAAAGAAAAAAGACCCTGTAAAAAAGTCCCTTCTATTTGGTTACATAGGGTCTAAAAGAGATTTATTTTTTAGTTTAGACCCGGTAAACAAATAGGGCATCACTACTTGAGGAATACTCATTGCAAAAATCACACCAACCTTTCAGGTTGCGACAAGTGACCTCCGTTTATTCAAAACGTTTTATCTCTTAAATTGTGTGTTCAAATCTCGAGCCGCTTTCATCATTGGATTTCTCGCGTCGAGATCTTCAAAACTAGATTCTATGTTGATAGGTTTTGATGAACTTTTTATTTAACGAAAAAACTGAATTGGGAGCACGGGTTTTTTCCTTATCGAAAGAGGCACACTCGTGCCTCTCACGAAATCACAACCGTGCCTCTCGCGGAAGCAAAATCATGACTCTCGCGGAAGGAAAACAAAAGAAAGCATGTTTTTTTCCGTTTGCGAGGAGGCACGGCCATGCTTTCTCGCGAAAGCACAACATTGCCTCTCGCAGAAGCAAAACCGTGACTCGCGAAATGAAGAAAAAAACAAAAACATGTTTTTTTTCGTTTCCGAGAGGCACGGCCGTGACTCTCGCGAAAGCACAACCGTGTCTCTCGCGGAAGCAAAACCATAACTCTCGTGAAAAGAGAAAAAGAAAAAAACATGTTCTTTTTTCCGTTTCCGGGAGGCACGTCCATGACACTGGCGAAGCGAAAGCACATCCGTGCCTCTTGCAGAAGCAAAACCCGTGTCCTGCATATCACGCTTCCGACAAGGCTCCCACAACACCGTGTCCTACATATCACGCTCAACGCTGGAGGCAACACGGTGACGTGTTTCTTTTTTAAACAGCTTAAACTTTATTAATTAGAAATAATGGTTACATCGTCTATCAGAAGAGTTACAACATTTTACATGGGCTCTTCTATCCAATCTCTAGTCATGAAACATTTTGCTAATCTAGCAAGTTCATGAGCTACTTTGTTTGCTTCTCTATCATAATGTTTAAACTGGTTTGTGAAAAATCACAGGCCATAAAAAAATAATCCTCAAAAATTGCCGCCGCTGCTCCCGCAGACTCTTCACCGTTCTTCATTGTGTCAATGACTTTCATATTATCAGAGTTGATAACGAGACGATTGCAGCCTGTTTTTTATGCCAACAGTAAACCAGACCTAAATGCTAACGCCTCTGCTGCCAGAGCATCCGCACAATCTTTCAGTTATCACCTACTATGAAGTTTCATTTATCATCTCTGATAACGCGGTGCCGTGTGTTCATATGCCAATAGAACTTTAAAAGTGAGACAGTGATAGATAAATGAAGAGGCAATCTGTTGATCGACTGGCAGCAAATATCATAAAAGACATTCGTATATTGTACATTTCCTGCTCATCGGGTAAATGACTAGGATTACATGATTAGCCACCCGTTTCCACTCAAAACAATACCCCCAGCAGATATAATTATGTTCTTTGGATCTGAAAATGAATGTACGTCTATAAGTATGCACAGAATAACATTATAGGACAAAAATTTACAGTAGCTGAGGTTCAACAGGTAAAACGTACACTTCACTATGTATTTTTCTTGCTGTCAGAACGGGAGAAGCGGAGGTCCATTGTTTGCAGCTTATTCCTCAATTCCTCATTCTCCGCAATTAGACGCTCATATTCAGTAAGCAAACCTTCAGATTGTTTTTGTAAAGCCAAATTATTCATTTCAGCAGTTTTTAGCTCCTGTGTTTGAGATTCTGACTGGTGTTTGAGTACTTGCACCTGTTCATTCAAACTGTCAATCTTTTTCTGATATCCTTGAATTTCCTCAGAGTCTCCGAGTTTTGTTTCTTCCAAGACCCTGCTCTGCTTTGTCACAGCCTCCATGTTTTTCTTCATCGCCCGTAATTGCCTGATATAGTGATGCAGTCGATCAATAATTAGCCCAAGAAACAGAGAGTATCCTGGAAAACAACAAACACAGCAAGATTCAGTCGAACTGAAAGATTAATGTATTTTTGAGACACTGTTCAACAAATATTTCTGAAACACTATTCACCATACAGAAAATATACAACTCATTCTGTGAAGGCTACGTTTGACTTCGGCATGATGAATATAACTTGAATAATGGTTTGGAAGTATTAAACCCATAATTTTATTGCATGCTAGGTCTCAGGTGGGAATGTTGAAATGGGAAGCAAGTTATTCACAGATGGAAGAACAACTATTTATAGAGATATTTGGCGTCAATACTACTCATATCACTACGTCTCCGAGCAAGAATGTCCCAAACTGTTTGTTCCACTTTTCTTATGTGGATAAGTGGTTGCATAACTTGCATTATGCAACAACAACAAAATAACATTTCAGTATTCGAATAAATTT